GAGGACAATGGTGGAAAGAAGGGAAAGGGACTAGACAAAGAACATGTATGAATGACCCATGGACATGGACAATAGAGTGGGAATTGACTGTGGGAGTGGGGGGTGGGGGTGGGACTGGTAGAGGGGGTCAAAGGGAGGAAAATATTGAGACAACTATAAAAGAATAAACATGATTTAAAATTTTTTTAAAAACTGTCTTCATTTCAAAAGCGTTGAAATTCTATTTTGAGAAGGCCTTCTTAAACAAGAATCAAAACGAGGCAAAGTACAGAGAATTTTCATGGCAGTGAAACTACTCTGTTTGATAGTATAATGGTGGATAAATGTCATTTTACATTTGTCCAAACCCAAAGAATGGATAACATCAAGAGTGCACCTTATTGCAAACCAGGGACCCAGGGTAGTAATGATGTGTCAACACAGGTTCATCAATTTTAACAAATGTACCACTCTGGTAGAGGATGCTGATAATGGTAGAAGCTATGTATGTGTGAGGACAGGGAGTATATGAGAAATATCTATACCTTCTGCTTAGTTTTGCTATAAACTTAAAACTGCTTTAAAAAATAAAGTCTATTCAAATTTGTAATAGCATAATCAATTATTATTGAGAAGGATTAGGAAGAGAAATATTCTGTATACAGAACATTCTTATTGCTTGAGGTTTTTACCATTACTATATCTTATCTAAAAATTTTTCTTAGCACCCTAGCTGGTGAGGCTCTGTGGACTGAGGGCTAGCCTGCGAACTGAAAGGTTGCAGGTTTAATTCCTGGTCAGGGCACATGCCTGGGTTGCAGGCCAGTTCCCCAGCTGGGGACACGCAAGAGGCAACTGATCAATGTTTCTCTATCTCACACACACACACACACACACACACGGACGTTTCTCTCTCTTTCTTCCTTCCTTTCCCTCTCTGTAAAAAATAAATAAAACCTTTAAAAATATTAGTTGGATAAATTAATAAAAAAACCACAATGAACCCAAACAGGCATAAAAATACAAGACATGAATAGTCCTAATATCAAATAAAATTTTTTTCTTAGAAAAATTGTAAAAGAAATAAAATGTAAAATACAATATAATTTTATCCATAGAACAGACATTTAAATATGTCAAATCTAAAGTTTCAAATGATATAAATGAGAATATCACTTTTTCCATGACATTTAATAATTACATGATGTTTAAAGTAGAACTAAAATCTTGATCAGTAGTCAGATGTTAATTAGAATTACTGTGGTCATGCAAAATATATATAAATACCATATCATTATGGTGTACACCTGAAACTAATATAATGTTATATGTCAATTATACATAAATTTTTTTAAAAAAATTCTATCAGTGGTAAATCTAATACCTTTGCTTCTTCAAGTTCCTTGTTGGCAGCATCCACCTCAAAATTTTTCTCTTTTTCTAGTTGCTCTGTTAATAGGTCAATTTTAATCAATTCTTTACAAAGATGCTCATTGTGGCTGGTTAAATCGTCTATCTGACTGCTTACCACCTCCTTACTATCCAAGAGTTTCCTAACATATTCTTCCAAGCAATGATTGGTCTGTTTGAGATCTTCAATCTGTTATAATTAGAAAGAAAATAATCAAATTAAAATATTTCCTTAGTTTCCCTTTGAGGAGAACAACTAGGTGACAGGAATCGAAAACAGAGGTTTTCCTCCCTAGCAAGGAGACTCAACTGCATATTTTTTTTACTTCATGAACTTTGTGCCATGTTAATATTTTCCCTATCTGAAAAAACTAAAAATACACCAAATGAAAATCTAAAGGTTTATAGCTATATCTTTCAAGACAATTTACAGTTTAATAAAAAAGAAATTACTATTGATTTTTAATCAAACTATTAAAAACTGCCAAACATTTATATCTGCAAGAAAGAAACCAGTCTTAAAATTATTTAATTTTAACAATTAGTATCATCAATTAGGCATTCTTTATAATTAAAATTCTATTTATTGTTATCAAAGCATGTTAACTCTTTAGAAGTCCTTTTGAACATATCAATGACTTACTTGACTAAGCTAAATACCAAATCAATCAAGTATTTGCTGACTAAGGTGGAGGACCACAGCTTTCCTTCCCAGCCCACTATCAAACCATCAAGGGACGAAGAAAAGGGCCTTTCTATCACGAAGGTATCCAAATGCCTTTAAAGGGAAAAATATAGAGATATATATTTTATATATTATATATATTTTATATATATTTTATATATTTTATATATATTTATATATATTATATATATATATGACCCATTGAACAATGATTACATGCCAGCAACTATGTTAAATTCCAAAGATACAAAGCTAGGTTAGGTACCTGCATTCAGGAATTTACTGTTTACCTGAGAAAATACAAATACTGTATATTAAATGCCATAAAAGAAATATTTATGAGATAAAGTAGTGGCACAAAGATCTTTTTCCATAGTACTCATCTCTCATTGTGTATTTAACAAACATTTATTGAACACCTACTATATTCAAGACACCGTTTTAGTACCTTCTGGAAAATGTACAAAGACAACAGAAAAAAAATCTTAATATTTAAAAAGCATCCTAAATTGCTAAATCTAATTTTATTCTTAGTTCTAACATTACTCTTGCCCTGACCTTGCCCTTTTCAAATAACTATATAGTTCTTCCCAATCCATCAAAATCAACAAAGTTTTCTTTAAAACAAATTTTATCTACAATTTGTCACTACATTAAAAAATCCTAAAGATTATAAATTATATTTAACTATACCAGAATGACATTTATTACACTCAATACATACCCTGAAGCACCATAAAAGCCATTATTTTAATCCAACTCTTTGCCATTTTTAATTATCAAATCCAGGAAACCTGAAAAAGTCTGAAGAATTTTTTTTTAAAGTGTATGTCTGAGGGGCTGGGGTGTTGAGTCCTTTATCATACTGGCCCGAATTTTTAACAATACCTCCTACTCTTTTCTCCTTTGGCCTTCTCCCATATACAGCTAAAAAATCTTTGAAAACAAAAATTTGAGGTAACTCCTGTAACCTGTGGTGCTTCATCACACTGAGAATGAAAGAACGCCACTTGTGATTCCCAGCCCTACCAACCTATCCAGCCTAACTACCCACAGTCCCCAATACAGACCTGAGCTTCAGACACACTGCAGAAAACAATCTCACCTAATTGTTTAAAACCCTTATACAGATTTTAAAATGAGGCTTTACACTCATTTTAAAACCTGTATTAGGGGAGTTACTGAAAATCTTACATACTATATCACTGAACCTTTTTATAAGAATCCTCAGGGAAAACTTTCAGTTCTTTGAGATATGTCAGGAATGTTTTGGACAGCCAATTTGTTCCTACACTATAAACTGTGAATTATTTAAGCAAAATTTCCTTTTTGCCTTTGCCTGCAGGAATTTTAAAGCCAATCCGCAGCTCATTTCTAGCAACTACTACAGAAGTCTGTGCAATGACTTTGTTGCTTATTCTCATCCCATACTTCCACCGTTTATTTTCCTCTATTCTTATTATCTAAACTATTTTCATTACTGGTATTTTTTAAATTATAGGATGTGGGGTAAACAAATTAACTTCAATCTACCTATTCTGAATGTTATTTTGTCTTGTTCATGACTTCTACAGTGCCACATTTCTGAGCAACTAGAATACACTACCAGTGCTTGCTAACCATCCACTGCACCAGGAGAGATTAAATGCCCTTCCTCTCTGTGCCTTCCATAAACCCTCTTAGTTTTATCTTAGTATTTTATAATACGTACTATAATCATTTTTCACTTCCCTGCCCCTCCCACTAAATTATAAGCAACTTTAAAGGGATCATGTTTTTACTTTCTTATTGAGCACAGCTCTCATTTTTGTATCATTATGTATCTAGCACATAACAGATTATCATTAAATAGGTAAATAAAGCAAATAAATCATAAATAAATGCATGAACATTCCCCTCTTCTCTGACACCAAGTTCTACTTTCATACATTTCCAAGACAAAAATAATTTAGAAGAGGCTGTTTAGAATAGAGAAAGGGATGTGGGCTTTGGACTAAGGCAGGCAGGTTTAAATCCCGCTGTAGTCCTTTACCAGTAACTTAGTCTCGGGCAATTTACCATATTTTCTTGATCCTAAGAGATGCATCTTGACTTCAGAAAAAATAAATGGAAGCCTCTTGAGTCTCATCTGTTAAATGGAGAGAATATCTACAATTTGCAGGGATTTATATAAAGGTATATTAAATAAAGTTCAAGTAAAATTTCTGGTAGATAATAGGCACCTAGAAAGTAGCTTTACTAATAACATTTTTAAAAAAATTTTATTTTGAAATAACTTGAGTCACAGGAAGTTGCAACAGAGGTCTCATGTGCCCTTAACCCAGTTTCCCCTAATAGTTAGATCTTATGTCAAACCCAGAGATTTAACTTTCGTACAATGTGTGTGTATTGTTCTATTCCATTTTATCACATGCGTATATTGTAACTACCACCTCATTAAGACACAGAACTATTCCATCACCACAATGATTGCCCTCCTGTTACCCCTGTATAGTCACATCCTCCTCCTCCCCATCTTTAATTTTTTTTGGAGGGGGGAAGGAAATAGGATTTATTGGTGGGTATAAGTAAGGAGGGGGCAATGTTAAGGCTCTCATGAGTAGCGGATTCACTATTTGTCCAGGGGGCCATGATTATGGATATATTTGATCCCAGTCATTTGGGATGAGCCACTCCCCCATTTCCGCCACCATACCTTCAAATTCATCCACATTAAACTTAGTAAAGCCCCACTTCTTGGAGATGTGGATATTCTGGCAGCCAAGTAACTTGAACTTGGCCCTGTGTGGGGACCCACTCACATTGGTGTGGATGGACATAATGACTTGACAAACATGGATCCTGGCCACAGAGCTCTGGGGCTTTCTAAAAGCACCCGTACAGACTGGGAACAGCATGAGATCAGACATGAATGTTCACTGAAAAGGGCTGTCTCCAAGGTCCCTTAGGGCAACCCATACAAGCAACAGGCTGCATACACTACTGAGGATGCTGCTGTTTGCAGCCATTGCACACTGAGCTCCCACTGGAGAAAAGAGCATGGTCAGCCTAACTATAAACCATCCTTAGCTCTTAGCAACCACTAATCTCTATAATTGTGTCATTTTGAGAACATTATATAAATTAAACCATGTGATACAGATCACACTATGTGATCTTCGACTATTATTGGTTTTTTCCCTCAGCCCAATTCTCCTGAGATCTAACCAAGTTAACTTGGAGCAATGGTTTATTCCTTATTACTGAATAATATTCTATGGTATGGATTATCAGTTTGTTTAATCATTTACCAATTAAGGGAAACTTCTGTTTCTAGCTTTTGGCTCTAACAAAAAAAAACTGCTATGAACAATTGTATACAGGTTCTTGAGTGGGCATTGTCTATGCTGGGTTGTTTGGTAAATATGCTTACTTTTTAAGAACTAAAATATTTTTCCAGTGTCTATACCATTTCTCAGACCCACGAGGAATGTATGATTCAGTTTCTCATCTTTGCCAGCATTTGGTATTGTCACTATTTTTAATTTCAGCTATTTTTATAGGTGTGCATTTTCATCATGGTCTTAATTTGCATTTCCCTGATGTTTAGAATGGCTAAACATCTTTATATGTGCTTATCAACCATATAGCCTTCTGTGAAATCTCTTCATGTCTTTTGCTCATATTCTAATTATATTATTTGATTTTTACTGTTCAGTTTTGATGAGTTTTTCATGTGTTCTAGATATAATTCCTTTGGCAGAAATATGGTTTATAGTTTGTTTTTTCATTGTATTAACAGGGTCTTTCATAGAGCAAAAGACTTAAATTTTATGAAGTTAAAATTATTTTTTATGACTCATGCTTTTGATTTATTTCTAAGAACTCTTCACCAAGCCCAAGGTCCTGAATATTTTCTCCTGTGACCTTTTACCTAGTTTTACATTTCATATTTAATTCTGTGATCCATTTGGAGTTAATTTTTGTTTAAGGCATGAGATTTAGAACTAGGCTTATTTTCTTCCCCTAAAAGATATCCAATTGCTCCAGCAGCACTTGTTGAAAAGACTGTCTGTCCTCATTGAATTGCATTTGCACCTCTGTCAAAAATAATTTGGCTGTACTTGTGTAGGCTCTTTCTAGACTCTCTATTCTATATTACTCATGTATGTGTTTGTATCTCTAGCAATACTGTAGTAGTCATTACTATAACTACATATTGTTTTGGAATCAAGAATGACTCCATTCTTTTTTAAATTGCTTTTGCTGGGATTTTGATGGGCATCACATTAAATCTTTATATTGATTTGGACAGAATTGATATCTTTACTATATCAAGGCTTCCAACCCATGAACATATGTCTTTCCACTTGTTTAAATCTTTGATTTCATTAGAATTTTGTATTTTCAGAGTAGGAACTTGTACTTGTTAGATTTACATCTAACAATTCCATTTCCTATCTAATTGTTGATTACTAACATACAGAAATATAATTAATGTTTATCTTGTATTCTGACCTTGCTGAAGTCATTTATTGTTTTCTGTGTTGATTTTATGAGATGTCTTAAACAGATCATGTCATCTACAAATAGGGGCAATTACTTCATTTCAGGTCTGTGTATCTAACGACCTTTCAACCTACCTATATTATACTGAAAGATAATTTCTTGTAGACAGCATAAAGCTAGGTAATGTTTTTTCAATCCACTCTGCTAGTTTCCATCTTTTAATTGGGTACACTGAGACTATATTTAATGTAATTACTTTTATGATTCAGGAGTGACTTTTTTTTCACTTTTCTGTTTTGTTTTTGCTGCTTTCTTGTGGGTTATCTGAACATTTTTAGAATTCCATTTTTATTTATCTATAGTGTTTTTGAGTATATGTTTTTGTATGGCTTTTTAGATGTTACATTATATATTCACAACTTATTACAGCCTACATTTTACCAGTTCAAGTGTAGAGAGCTTACCTCCCTTTGTATCCCTTCCCTCTCAATTAATAACTGTCTTAAATATTTCCCCTACATGCATGGAGAACTACAGCTGACAAACATAAATTAGGAAACTAGAAAAAAATCTATTACATTTACCCATGTTTTTGCTCTAAATGCTGTTTGTTCTTCCTTCCTTTCTAGTCTTCCAGACTGCTTCTCTTTAACACTTTCTTCCTAAAGAGATTCCTTTTCCTATTCTTTTAGGGTAGCTTTTCTGGCAACCAATTCTATTAGCTTTCTTCATCTGAGAATGTCTTGATTTTCCCTTCATTTTTAAGGTATACTCTTGTAGATACAGAATACTAGGGTGACAGTTTTTTTCCTCCAGCACTTGAAAAATGTTGTGCCACTTCCTTCTTACCCCATGTTTTCAGATCTACTGTCATTTGAAGTGGTGTTCCCCTCTACGTAATGAATTATTTCTCTGGTTTCTTCAGGAATTTTGTCTTTAGTTTTCACAAGTTTAAAGTGTCTTGGCATGGATCTCTTTGGGAGACTCCAGGTAGGTATTCACCCACCTTCTTTAATGTCTTGTCTTTTGCCAAATTTGGGGAGTATTTAGCCGTTATTCCTCCAAATACTTTTTCAGCTTCACCCTTTCCTACATTATCTTGCTGGGACTACAATGACCCAAATGTTTTATCTTTTGTTATGGTTCCACTTGTTCTGAGCCTCTGTCATTTTTTCAAACTATTTTCTCTCTGTTGTTCAGGTAATTTCTATTTTTCTATTCTCAGGTTCACTGATTCATTCCTCTCTTCTATGTATTTTGTTGTTCGAGAACAATGAGATTTTAATTTCAGTCATTGTATTTTTTAACTATTTTTTGTTGTAGTGAAACACACACACCAGAAAATTTACAATTATAATCATTTTTATGTTTACAATTCAGTGGCATTAAGAATATTCACAATGTTGTGCAACCATTCCATATCCACTTCCAGAACTTTTTCATCATCCCGAAGTAGAAACTCTGTACCTGTTAAACAAAACCTATAAATTTTCCTTTTCAAGGTATCTCGTGTAAGTGTAATCATAAAACATTTGTCCTTCTGCGCCTGCCTTATTTTACTTAGCATGTTTTCAAGGCTCAGCCATGTTGTAGCACTGTATCAGAATTTTATTTTTAAAAGCTAATATTCCATTGTATGTACATACATTTTGTTTATCCATTCATCTGTTGATGAACATCTGGGTTGTTTCTACTTTTTGCTACTGTGAATAATGTTGCTATGAATAGTGATGTACAAATATCTCTTTGAGGGCCTTTTTTTTAATCTTTTGGGGATATACCTAGGAGTGGAATAGCTGGGATCAGATTTTAATTCTATATTTAACATTTTAAGAAACTGCAAAATTTTTTTTCAACATAGCTGCACCATTTTTACATTCCCACTAGTAATGTACAAAGCTTCAGTTTCTCTTCATTTTCTCCAATACTTGTTATTTTCTTTCGACAACAGCTATCCTAATGGGTATGAAGTGGTTTTAACTTGTATTTCTTTAGTGGTTAGTGATGTTGAGCATCTTTTCACATGCTTATTGGCATGCATATATCTTCTTTCGAGAAATGTCTATTCAAGTCCTTTGCCCATTTTTTAATTGGTTTTTTGTTGTTGTTGATTTGTGGTAGGTCTCTATATATTCTGGATAGTAATCCCTCAGCAGATATATGATTTGGAAACATTTTCTCCCATGCATTTTTTTAATCCTCACCTGAGGAAATACTCCATTGATTTGAGAGAGAGAGAGAGAGAGAGAGAGAAAGAGAGGGAGGGAGGGAGGGAGAGAGAAACATCGATGTTAGAGAGGAACATTAATCAGTTACCTCCCACACACACCCCGATCAGAGATTGAACATGCATCCTAGGCATGTGCCCCAACCGGGGATCAAACCCACAAACTGTTGATATATAGGATGCTCTAACCAACTGGGCCACCAGGCCAGGGCTCCTATGCATTTTTAACAGACTTAATTTTTTTTAGAGCAGTTTTAAATTGTTTATAGAAAAACTGATCAGGGATTACAAGGATTTTCCATGTACTTTTTCTCCCCACCACTAACACACACACACACACACACACACACACACACACACACACACACACAGTTTCCCCTCTTATTTACATCTTGTAATAATGCAGTTAAAATAGATACACCAACGTTAATAAAACATTATTAACTAAAGTCCATAATTTACTTTAGGGCTCATTCTTTGGGTTGTAGATTCTATGGGTTCTGACAAATGAATAATGACATGTATCCATCATTATTGTATCATACAGACTAGGTTCACTGCCCTAAAAATCACCTGTGCTCCACTCGTCATTCCCTCTCTCCATAACACTGGCAACCAGTGATCTTTCTAAGGACTCTTATGTTTTGTCTTTTCCAGATCATGTAGTTGGAATCATAAAGTATGTAGCCTTTTCAGATTGGCTTTTTTTCAACTAGCAATATGCTTTCAAGGTTCCTTCACATCCTTTTGCCACTTGAAAACTCATTTCTTTTTACAATTCCATTGTATGGACACTCCACAGTGTTTATCCATTCAGTTACTGAAAAACAACTTAGTTGCTTTCAAAATTTCCATTTAGTTCTTCTTTGTATCTTTTATTTCTTTGCCAAGATTTTCTATGTTCTTTTGTGTTTATCAGACATGTCCAAAATTGCTTGTTGAAATATTTGTAAGATGGCTGATACCTTATCTTTTCTCACTGAAATTGAGATCTTCCTGATTGTTGGGATGGGGATTTTTTTTTTTTTTTAATCATAACCTGGTATCCCAAGACTCTGGCTCTTGTGCTTTAGTAGGTTTCCTATTACACGAGTCCATCAAGAAAAAAAGGACACTGCCTTGTTCCTACTATATGAGATGGAAGTCCAATTTCTACCCGAGGCTTCCATGGACACCTGAAGAAGGTGAAGCTCCTTGTTACTGCTAGGCAGGATGGAAGTTCAGGCTCCTCACTAGGCCTCTGCTGATACCACAATAGCTAGGAAGAACAGAGGTGACTCATTACTACTCTCACATGTTCTCCACTGCCACTGTAGGTGGGTAGACTTGTTAATGCTGGGTCA